GTAGTCTTGTCACTGTGAATCGGCTTACGCGATGACCCAATGATGTGGCTGCTGATGACGTCACCGTCAACATCCAGTTGCGTAGGTGAATAACCCGCAGATAGCGATCCTCTTGGGGTGTTGTGACTCTGGAACGTCCACTTCTGGGTCGATCACATGTCTGGCCTGTTGTACTGAAATGGTTAAACAGCCGAATTATGGTTTGTCTTGTGCAACCCAGTGTCCTTGCAATATCGCTGTTGAAAGCACCCATTTGTGTCATTCCTTTGGCCTGTTCTCGTTGAGCCGACGTCAATCTTGGCATTTCCTCGTGAGATTTCTGTCAAGTGATTGTTCAGTCTTCACGACAAACAGGTTTTATACTCTCTGTCAGAAAAGTGCTGGTGCATGGGACAATAATCACAATTTTGCAAAAATTTGTGCAAAACACTTACAAATGTTTTTGGTTGCATTTTGGCAAATGAAACATGATGGTTGCGTTCTATACAATCAATGTTTTTCAATAATTTTATTAGTTAGAACGCATATTTGGGATTGCAACAACAATTACACCTGTGTACTTTCTTTTGCTCGTCAGTTTATATCACATTTGACAAAGGTATTTGGTCAATATGCTGATGAACTACATTTTTATGATAAAGATATACTCTTCAGGACTGATAACCTCAAATATTGACATACCTGAGATATATTCCACATGAAAATAACCCATAACATCTTTGTAAGACCTAATCCATTTCTTTAAAACTGCAGCTGCACATTTTGAGTCAAGAAATGATACTGTGACGTTAAATATTAACTCACTCACTCAAGAAATGATAGAAGAGTATTTTCTAAAATTACTGCATTAAGTGGAGGTCAAACATATGTGTACCTCATTGACTGTCCATATGATGTCACTGTTTCCAAATATCTATCAATTAAATGTATCTTCCCTAACAAGGCCCTCCTTGAAATAATATTTCCACAAAAACAGAAGGACATTAAAATACTAGTAATCATTTCAGTGGACCAGTATTGTCAGCAAAATGTGAAAAATGAAAGTGTTAGACAAAGTGAACCAGACATATTGTCAGTTTCTCTAGAGTTGAGTATATTAGTACAGGAATAGGAAAGTGTTCCAAAGTCCAGGGTATTATATGCCATTCCTTTGTCTCAGGAGGAAATAGAAGCTTCATGCTTATAATATCAGAATTCTCTGGGCTCTATGGCTCAAAGGCCAAAAGTCTGCAGCACAGTCAGTCAAAAATTCACAAACTGGAATTAAGATATCCCAATTCACTGATATAGTTGTGACTAAGTTTATGGCATTGTTTTCGTAACTTGTATTTCTTTGATAACAGAACCAATGAAGAGGAATATGTTTGGCTTAATTGCAATGTTAAAACACCGAAGTAATATCACCCTGGGGTAATATCATGCTTGAGTCTGATTCCCCAGTCTCCAATGGAGAGAGGTATTGTAATGGGGTAATAGATCTGATTTGAATGATAAGCCACTGTCCACCATACCCCATCTGATGACAATACAGCAAAATCTGTCTTGCTGTCTCTAAAGTAAAGGATGGTAGCAAGTGGTTCAAGCTTTGTGTGCGTTGTTGCACTAAATACCATTAGATTCATGACACAGATACAGTTTATTCATGGGCAATGTTGAAACCCGTTCTTACTTCCGCTTCCAAGGTATATGACTCATGTATTCATAAAGGAATAGTCTAGTAACCATAGAAACTTGGCTGATTTTAATACTACAGGGCATGTTTAATTGCAAATGTTTGATGAATATATCATAAAGAAGATGAGAAAACATTACTGAATATAGAAAGATATGTTAGTTAATGGATGACAACTTCTTTACTATATTATGTAGTGATTTTTAGTTAATGATTCTTATACCATTATCAAGCAAAAGTGATTAAATCGTTATCAAAACGAAAAAGTCAGCCTCTGGGGTTTAAAACAATTTTTCCATTTTCATCACCCTGAACAGTTTTAATTCTTGGACATGTCCAATCTGCATGCATCCTCCACATCATTGGGTGTTTCCGTCTGATTCCCATCTCTTTGATCACCATGTCCACAACTTATGCCAAGAATTAGCAACACCTTAGATGATGCCTTTGGTCATTTACTCTGGAGATAATCCATTCATGGTATGGAATAGGGCCAGTGATCTGATAATTTGTGATGTAATTTTTTATCTACAAAGACAGCATGTGGTTTATGGAACCCCAAACAGCTAGTCCTGAAAAACTAGTTACAGAAAGTAATTGTTATTTTAGTTGTGCACGATGTCTCGGCTCACTCCAATTTTTGGTTGCATTTGCTCCTAAAACTTAAGTCACACACCAAACTGGTATATTTTGGAAGCCAATTTCAGCAATTTTATTTGGATATTTAAGTGTTTTCCACAAATCTTTGAATTTGACCACTTGGAAATTGACTTCATGTAAATGTATTTAGAAAATTGAAATTTTAAACAAAATTGCAATCACTTCTTTCACTTTGTATGAACTTTAGCCTTTAGGTACCCATGAAGGTCCGGGTAAGAATATTGATCTTCAGTAACCCATGCTTGTCGTAAGAGGCGACGAACGGGATCGGGTGGTCAGGCTCGCTGACTTGGTTGACACATGTCATCGGTTCCCAATTGCGCAGATCAATGCTCATGCTGTTGATCACTGTATTGTCTGGTCCAGACTGGATTATTTACAGACTGCCGCCGTATGGCTGGAATATTGCTGAGTGCAGCGCATAACTAAACTCACTCACTCACTCATTTAACCTTTAGGATGAAGGATGAATTTCAGCATAAATAGTTGTAAAGGGTGGGTGATTTAAACCAGTTATGGCTTCATTAAATAAGCCACAAAGGAACCAGAAATTTTGCACGTTGATGTAGATAGGTAAATACACAGGACTCATAGTAGCAAAATAATGTGCAAGGTGTAGCTGTAGTACAGTAAGAGTTAATACAAACATATCATGCATAAAGGTGATGAAGTGCAAGTAAGTCGAGGACTAAGTTGACGTTATGAATTCTTCATTAACTGAATTTACATTCCATACAAAAGGACGAAATTATGAAGTTTAAGTATGTCAGGGCCAAAACTGAAGAAAAAAATAATTCACTAATCCGATCCCTCGCCATGAAGCATAGTCGTATTTGGTGTTTTTTATATAGTCAGTATTTGGTGTTTTTTATATAGTCAGTATTAGTGGTGTTCCGATTAATTGAAATAATCGAAGATTGGTCGCAGTGACCAAACGACCAAGCAATCGATCACATTTTCACATAATCGAACATAAACTATTTTGAAACTACTGTTTTAGTCTTTGAAATACTTGACAATGGAACATATCTTAGAAGTTGTCAGGTCCTGAAAACATGTTTGTTTCTTAGAAAACTCACCTCACTAACTGAAAAGTCATGACTGGATATTTCTCTAAGACTCCTGGAAGTTTATGTTCATGATATATTAGTCATGACTTTAAAGTAACAAGTTGCATCATGTTATACTCTTCTGCTGTAACAACCTGGATAGGAAAATCTGAAAAATGACGCTAACCAATTTTTTTCGATGATTGTTCGTTGGTAATGAAGCAATCATCAATTGTGAGATTTCAACCAATTCCCAACACTAGTCAGTATTTGCAATGGAAATGCATACTTCATCTGGAATGTATACCATGGATGTGGTGTGTCTGAGTTGAAACAGTCACAACCATGTCCCTGAGTCTAAAATCATTTAAAAATCCTTCTTTTTTCATAAATACTGGTACCTGGTACTGGTAAATACTGGAATTTCATCTGAAGTGTCCTCCGTCTAAGCAGACTTGCAATCGTTCACAGCACACACACACATATATTATTTCCACTGCTTGTCAATATGGAAATGAGAAGAGTATCTTGTCCTTTTTATCTTCTGGAGTTTGTATGTACCTAGTTTTGGTTATTGGTGCGGTATTGAATTTTAAAGCTTTATGGACACAGAACAATGAGCAATTAGTTCTGGTAATTGGCCATATTTTAATAAGTTGATGATTCAGCACATTTTGCTGCAGTTTCTGTAAGGCTATTGATGTTTCCAGTCGCGGCTAGACAGTAATGCTGGACTTGCTAGTCCCAAACTGTTAACATCTTCAATGATGAAGTAGTCCCAGAGTGGCCTGACAGAGAAAATTAGGTTGTACCATGTTACTCAAAGCAATTTTCCACTTTAACTGTTATAGGGAGCCTAGTGGTTAAAGTGTTCACTTGTCACGCCGAAGAGCTGGGTTCAATTCCCCACATGGCCACAATGTGTGAAGCCCATTTCTGGTGTTCCCCACTGTGATATTCCTGGAATATTGCTAAAACCCAACTCACTCACTCACTCACTCACTCACTCACTCACTCACTCACTCACTCACTCACTCACTCACTCACTCACTCACTCACTGTTATAAGCTTTTAACTTTTTGGGGTTTCGAACCTCTAAGAGTTATGGAATGGGGCACTAGGTTTCCTAAATTGGGTATCGGGTTGTCAGACTCTGTGTCTAGGTGTGTCATTGTGACTGATGGAGACTCTTGGTGCTCATGCTGTCAACCTCTGTTTTGACTCAGTTGTATCCTGGTTGTAGTAACATGGAGGGAATATGGCAGCAGGGTTCTACAAACTTAATTTTCTGCTTGAGAATAATGTTTAGATGTTATATTTTCAGTCTATTTGGCTAAATGCCTGAGATAGGTGATAACTAGTTGATTCAATGCCAGAGACAGATGATAACTAGTTGATTCAATGCCAGAGATAGATGATAACTAGCTGACTCAATGCCAGAGATAGGGGATAAATAGTTCATAAGCAATGAAATAATTCTTCAATGTTGCCAACTCCACTCCCTCACTCACTCACTCATACTCACTCATACTTTATCAGTCCTTTGTTGGTGTTAGTTTTAGCAAAAGGTGTTACTGAACTCTTACATGGATCCTAAGAATCTTTCCAATTTGTTTTAGCATCGAAAATCCGACTGAGCGTCGAGTGAAGAAGTGGGCATACAGTTTTCACGAGTTGCTGTCCGACTATGTGGGCCGGGAAGAGTTTGAGAAGTTCCTCAAGAAGGAATACAGCCATGAGAACATCCGCTTCTGGAAGGCTTGCGAAGACCTCAAGTTCTGTCCCCTCTCCAGGGTTGCCATCATGATTGACAGGATCTATGAGTACGTGTTGCAGCTAGTTTCAGTGAAATGCTGATCAGCAGACAGATGTTTGCTGCTCTATAGTCACAGTAATTTTATTGCTAAAAGCGGCGTAAAACCAAACTCACTCAGTCAGTATATAATATATAAATATAACCTATGTTACATTTCACCACTTTCTAAATGGCATTCTGTAATCATATAGCTTTCGGCCATGGGAGCCGTGCCAATTTACACTTATCAGAGGGGTACACAAAGTCCGCAGTCTAGACTACCAGTTGTCTGACTTCCATTTTTGTGGAAGTCGCGATGATTGAGTGGGTTAGGCGGCTGACTTTGTGTGCTGGCGATTTGGTGCCTGACTCTGAGGGTGTGGGTTCGAATCCTGGATGGGACTCAACCCCAAAAAGGACTCGTATTTGAACTTTATTAACAAAGTGTCATCCCAAATATAACACAAGTTACATTTGACCATTTTCTAAATGGCATTGTGTAATCATATAGTGGTCACTTGTGTTTGAAGCTTTGTGATTATAATCTGTAATTAGTATTTTAGATTTTACTTAAAAATTTCATCAGGGTGTTTTATGTTTCAGTGAATTCTTGAATCCTGGGTCAGCTCATGAGATCAATATAGATGGTAAAACAATGGAAATTGTCCAGCAGAACCTAAAGAAGGAAAAGCCAGACAGGTAAGACATGCGCGCAAACTATTGTCTGGAAGTATGAAGGCACGAAATGATGACCAGATCTAGTAGTCATTTAATAGTATAGAAAAATACTGATAGTTAATGCATGTTTTTTGGTTGTGTAAAATATTTGAGACTGGACCAGACAATCCCGTGATTAATATCATTAGCGTCAATGTGTGTATTTAGCATACAATGACATGGTAGTCTGACCATCAGGTCTCGGGTATTGAGTCATCACATGATAGAGATAAATACTTCAGATAATGTAAGGCATTTTTTATCATTCTGATTCTTATTTTTTTGCAGGTTTACTTTTGAGGCTGCTCAGGAACATATCTTTCTGTTGATGAAGAAAGACAGCTATGCTCGCTTTCTTCGATCTGAACAGTATAAGAGTCTATTGGCTAATGCACTACAACCAGGGAACAAGAAAAAGTGAGTTATCTGCCCTTTAATTCTTTTACCAGCCATCTTGGATTGTAAGAGTCTTGTGTATTAAAATACCAATTATCAAAGGACCAATGACAGTTTTTGGTACAGTTACAGTTCATTCTGATGATATTAAACAAAACAGAACTGTTATTTGCCTGAAGACATGTTTAGATTCCTGCCACTCTTGACATTCAGATGATGGTTATGGAAGCTCAACCAAAGTCATACTGCTGTCATTTATCAAGGTTTAATGTGAATACAGATGCCTGTTATCTTTGTCCAGAAAGATTTAGATGAAACAAGGCTTTTACTGGATATTTTTGCTTTTCAAGTCTCAGTATGTTTTCTTTCTACGTCTTTTCATGTCTGGGCAAATCATTAGGCAGATACAGCATGAGTGACATCATGGAAGTGATGTATAGTGATATATGATAAAAGAAGAGCTGGGCATTAAGTGGCTTTGTTTTCTAGTAGCCGTTCAGGCTGGGATATGACCACACTGAAAGTTTTCAGTATAAAAATCTATATTATGTGGTAATATTAGCCATAGTGATACCGGGCACCTGTGCTAATGCAGTTGGTTCCTTGTTAGGACACCTGCTCAGAATAAGTGATACGTTATGATCAATAGTCTACCTGGTATAACTGTATCGTTAGTTCGTGCTCTGTAAAACTGGTCAGAAACAAATAGGATATGAGAGATTAAGATCTGATGTATGGAACCATTTGATTTGTGGAGGGGTGAGGGTGGGGTGAGGGGAGTAAGGGTGGCTGGAAGAATATGGGTAAGGGGAGGGTCATTTTAGGTTGTTAGGGGTGTGGGGAGGAAGGGTGGCTGGAAGAATATGGGTAAGGGGAAGGTCATTTTAGGTTGTAGGGGTGAGGGGAGGAAGGGGTGGCTGGAAGAATATGGTAAGGGGAGGTCACTTTAGGTTGGGAGGAGGAAGGGGTGGCTGGAAGAATATGGGTAAGGGAATGTCATTTTAGGTTGTGGGGGTGATGGGAGTAAGGGGTGGCTGGAAGAATATGGGTAAGGGGAGGTCATTTTAGGTTGTAGGGGTGATGGGAGTAAGGGGTGGCTGGAAGAATATGGGTAAGGGGAGGGTCATTTTAGGTTGAGGGGAGTAAGGGATGGCTGGAAGAATATGGGTAAGGGGAGGTCATTTTAGGTTGTGGGGTGAGGGGAATAAGGGGTGGCTGGAAGAATATGGGTAAGGGGAGGTCATTTTAGGTTGAAGGGAGTAAGGGATGGCTGGAAGAATATGGGTTAGGGGAGGGTCATTTTAGTTTGTGGGGGTGAGGGGAGTAAGGGATGGCTGGAAGAATATGGGTTAGGGAGGGTCATTTTAGGTTGTGGGGTGAGGGGAGTAAGGGATGGCTGGAAGAATATGGGTAAGGGGAGGTCATTTTAGGTTGTGGGGTGAGGGGAGTAAGGGGTGGCTGGAAGAATATGAGTAAAGGTCATTTTAGGTTGAGGGGAGTAAGGGATGGCTGGAAGAATATGGGAGGGGGAGTCATTTTAGGTTGGGATGGGGGTGGCTGGAAGAAGGGGAGGTCATTTTAGGTTGAGGGGAGTAAGGGATGGCTGGAAGAATATGGGTATGGGGAAGGTCATTTTAGGTTGTGGGGGTGAGGGGAGTAAGGGGTGGCTGGAAGAATATGGGTAAGGGGAGGGTCATTTTAGGTTGTGGGGTGAGGGGAGTAAGGGATGGCTGGAAGAATATGGGTAAGGGAGGGTCATTTTAGGTTGGGGAGTAAGGGATGGCTGGAAGAATATGGGTATGGGGAGGGTCATTTTAGGTTGTGGGGTGAAGGGAGTAAAGGGTGGCTGGAAGAATATGGGTAAGGGGAGGGTCATTTTAGGTTGTGGGGGTGAAGGGAGTAAGGGGTGGCTGGAAGAATATGGGTTAGGGGAGGGTCATTTTAGGTTGGGGGGAAGGGAGCAAGGGGTGGCTGGAAGAATATGGGTAAGGGAGGGTCATTTTAGGTTGTGGGGGTGAGGGGCGTAAGGGGTGGCTGGAAGAATATGGGTTAGGGGAGGGTCATTTTAGGTTGTGGGGGTGAGGGGAGTAAGGGGTGGCTGGAAGAATATGGGTAAGGGCAAGGTCATTTTAGGTTGTTGGGGTGAGGGGAGTAAGGGGTGGCTGGAAGAATATGGGTAAAGAGGAGGGGTATTTTAGGTCCACCAAAACCTGGAAATGTCCTTGAGAGTCGTCATCCTCACTTCAGATTGTTGTCCTAAATTAACTTTTTGTGAAATGTCATGAATGTTTTGCAATTCTATTACCAATATTACATAACTCATTATTTTATGCTTCTTGCAGTGGCAAAAGTAACATTTTTGCACATGTTATAAGCATTTGTATACTTTCATCATTCCAAGAAGCACATCAGGTTTGCAATCAATATTGGTTCTGTTTTATTGGTTATTTCTGTATAAATATTACAGTTTGACTCTTTTCAAGCAGGCTATTAAGCAGTAGCATGTAAGTAATGCAAGTTTCTCGTACTTGTGGTGATGGCTGTAGTGGTTATTTTTGGTGTTTTATCTTCACATGGCTCACTGCTAGAACAGTGTTTACACCACAGTTGGGTCTCTCTGGTTTCTGTGGAAATGTTTGGTTTTACAGACTAGAAACATTGACATGATTTGATTTGACAGTGCATTTTGGCTGGGTGTGAGGGTAGATTGGATGTGTATTATCACAGAATGTAAAAGCTATGGAGAATATTTTACTGCATGAGGTGGTTTTATCATATTTATGTTATGGGATCATGGTTGTCTTTTAATGTCATGCTTCACTTTGATTCCTACTATTCATATTCACCATTTACATCGATAATCACAGTCACTTTTTAATTTAATATTCTCCTTTGACATTGATAACCAGAAACTATTCACATTCATATCCTCCATTTACATTGATAATCCTATAAACTATTCACATTCATATTTTCCATTTACATTGATAATCCTAGAAACTATTCACGTTCATATTCTTCATTACATGATAATCCTAGAAACTATTCACATTCATATTCTCCATTTACATTGATGATCACAGTCACTATTCATATTTAAATTCTCCATTTGCATTCATGTTCATGTTTATTATTTACATTTGCCATTCACATTCATCATTTACATCCACATTAATTTTGTACTTTCACTATTAAGTTGTTTTTTCTCCATTTGCATTCATATCTGTCATTTTGTAGCCCAGTAGGTAGAGCTTGGAAACAGGAAACATATACAACCACATGCCTACACACAATTCAACACACACAACACACACAACATGCCTACACACATTTCAACAAACACACAACATGTCTACACACATTTCAACACACACAACATGCCTACCCACATTTCAACACACACAACATGCCTACCCACATTTCAACACACACAACATGTCCACACACATTTCAACACACACAACATGCCTACCAACATTTCAACACACACAACATGCCTACACACATTTCAACACACACAAACACACAACATGCCTACACACATTTCAACACACACAACATGCCTACACACATTTCAACATACACAACATTCCTACACCCATTTCAACACACACAAACACAACATGCCTACACACAATTCAACACACACACAAAGACACAACATGCCTACACACAATTCAACACACAACATGCCTACGCACAATTCAACACACAAAAACACACAACATGCCTACACACAATTCAACATACACAACATGCCTACACACATTTCAACATACACAACATGCCTACACACATTTCAACACACCAACACACAACATGCCTACACACATTTCAACATACACAACATGCCTACACACATTTCAACATACACAACATGCCTACACACAATTCAACACACACAAACACACATGCCTACACACATTTCAACACACAAACACAACATACCTACACACAATTCAACACACAAACACACAACATGCCTATACACAAATTCACTACACACAACATGCCTACACAATTAAACACACACATGCCTACACACAATTCAACACACACAACATGCCTACACACAATTCAACAAAAACACACACAGACACATGCCTGCACAATTCCACACACAGCTTAAACACATGCCTAGATCTGCATGCACCTCACTTTATTAGTGCTATTATCTTGAAGACATCAAAACCTACTGCACTTCACTAAGTCACTATTCACTATTCCTATTCATCATTCACCATTCACATTCATGTTTACTCACATGATGCTGGTCCCCCTCCTGGGGCGGTGGGGTAGCCTAGTGGTTAAAGCGCCCGCTCATCACGCCAAAGGCCCTGGATTGATTCCCCACATGGGTACAATGTGTGAAGCCCATTTCTGGTCGTGATATTGCTGGAATATTGCTAAGAGTGGCGTAAACCATTCTCGCTCACTCACTCACACGTAAGGTCCACTAAACCCTTGAGGTCATTGTCCACTCTCTTTACATTATTGTCCTCACAACAGAACTTTTCATTTTTTTGCACGTTATTGCCGTTTTTACAAATTGTTTTCTTGAATGTAGTTACATGACCATTACTAAGATAATACAATGTCAGTATCAGGTAATATTCTTGGACATTAATTGACTGTTGTTTAAGTCATTCCAAAGACTTAATTTGAAAGTTCCCTATTATAAATTCAGTACGTCAGTGTTCAGGAAGGTCCTATATCATTATGAAACTCATTATTATTTAATTATATGCTGTAAACTTCGTAAAAAGTGTTATTGTATTATCAAAGAGTTTTTATTAATTAAACCTGTGAAGATCCAGGTGAGAATTGATCTTCAGTAACCCATGCTTGTCGTAAGAGGCGACTAACGGGATCAGGTGGTCAGACTCGCTGACTTGGTTGACACGTGTCATCATATCCCAATTGCTAATAATGTTGATCAGTGGATTGTCTGGCCCAGACTTGATTATTTACAGGCCGCCGCCATATAGCTGGAAAATTGCTGAGTGAAATGGAAAACTAAACTCACTCACTCACTTATTAATTATATGTTCTGACATTGTATTTCTCACCCGTAAAGGTCTGGGTTAGAATTGATCTTCAGCAACCCATGCTTGTCGTATGAGGCGACTAACGGGATCAGGTGGTCAGGCTCGCTGACTTGGTTGACACAAGTCATTGGTTCCCAATTGCGTAGATCGATGCTCATGCTGTTGATCACTGGATTGTCTGGTCCAATCTCGATTATTTACAGACCGCCGCCTTTTAGCTGGATTATTGCTAAGTGCTGCGTAAAACTAAACTCACTCACTCTCACCCATTCATAAGAGCAGTAAATCAACAGTAAAATCTCCAAGGCAGCATCTATGCCAAGGGATTATACAGCCAAGATTCTCATACACTATCACAGACTCACAGCATGTGGTACATTCTTGTGGTGGTCCACTCTGTGTATTTGTTCTTGTTTTACTTCTTCGGTGGCTTGTGATGAATTGATAAGCTGTAGGCATGGCAAATAGTTCTCAAGTACCAATACTTTAGATGTGCTTGAAAAAAATCAGCTTTGTAGGATTAACTTCCACGTGGTTGTGTGTGGTCTCGTACAAGGAGAATAGGTCACAAATCAGTTGAAGTTCAGCAACACTGAACACGGAGAATCCTTGGATGGGCGACATGTTTGGCAGCTTAACTTCTGAGAGTTTCTAAGTCTTCTGTCCTGCCCCACACTGAAGCACACGTTGCACATCTGGTCCCAACCTAGGCAAGTGAGTTTGTTCAAAATTGCCTCTGTTCACTAAACAGAAAATGGGTACCCGGCAGGATACGTCGTATGAATATTAAACTTCTAGCACCTTACATGCAGCTTGGGTTATCCAGCATAATAATGTCCATTATGTTGTATGCCCTTTGAGTTCAGCTCTATGTTATGGAAAATTAATCTCAGTGTTACATTGTAATTATTTTTCACTGATGGTGGAGTCATAGTAGAGTCATAGTAGGTGCTAAGTGCTATTCAGAGTTGTATCCCTTAGGTGTAGCAGGAACCTATGATGCCAATTCCTCATTGGCCCTCAGCATGTTTTTAGGCTGTTCCATGTTCTTGTAAATGTCCCAGTAATAAATATCTTAAGACCTGCAGTATTTTAGGTTTTCCACCCACATTGGCATGCTGTGTTATAACTTCAGTGTTCAAATCAGGGTTAAACTCTATTCACTAACTGACTGATGCTTTGGTCTAGTGGCTTTCCTTGTATAAGTCTGATTGCTTTGCATGGTGCCATGATAAAGCTGTACTAACTTAAAACCCATTCACTCTCTCACTCACTCACTCCATGGAATAGTACCACCTCCTTGGTGTAGTGGTTAGAGCGTCTGCCCGGAGAGCGGAAGGTCGCGGGTTCGATCCCCGACCGCGTCATACCAAAAGACGTTAAAATGTGGTACTTGTTGGTTCCTGCCTGGCGTTCGGCATTAATGGGTACAACAAGGACTGGTCGGCTCGGAGTCAGTATAATGTGTCTGAGTAGGGTATCCATGCTTCACTGCGGCATGGTATCTCAGTGGGCTAGCACTATAAAACCAGCTTAAGTCTGGGCTAGTACAAGCAGCCGCACATACACATACACACGCTTGCACGTCATGATATGAGCGAAATATTCTCAAGCACGACGTTAAACCCCATTTCACCTCACCTCACTCCATGGAATAGTCACTATGTATACAAGATGAAATGCCTTTATTTCCTTCTTTTCAGAGAAGGAATCCAGGTGAAATAGTGGTTAGACGTAGCTCTTGTATCTAGAATATGTAGAATTAGAGGCTTCAAGTGAAGTCTGATAGTAACAAATTCATCAATGACGGGTAAGATTTGCTTGTTGACCTTCACAATAAGGGAGATAGCAACTCTGTAGCAGATCATTAGTTGGCTGAGAAGTACAACTACATCTCATCCTGATGGTTGTTATTCCAACCGTGTACAAATGTTTTGAAGACCAATGGTGGTGAAACTATTTTCATGATCTGACTTCTGTGATGTAGTGGATAAAGTGCTCGGAGAGTGGAAAGTTTTGAGGTCTTTGAATGGCATTTAGAAGTGATGGTGTATATGTATGGTATTATTCAATTTGGAAAATATAATTGGGGATTAAATGGCTAAATGTAAGTAAAGTCTCTAAAATATTAGGCGTGTCAAAAGGGCACGAGAACATTTTTTAGCCGTGCCATTTCAATATTTACTGTGCCTCGGCACCCTAATATATGGGGTATTTCGAACCCTGAATGAAGATGTGATTTTGTGTTGATGTGGGGAATGTTTTAAGGCAAACGATGTGTCCTGTAACAAGGTTTTGACAGTTCAGGAACAGTTGATGGATTAATTGAGTCATTTTTAAACATGTCAGCTTAAGCAAGATACACCTGGAGCAAGTAAGGCACTACCCTTTCTATATACCATATAAGGCAAGGATTTCATACCAAGAATTAGAGGGTTTTTGAAGTGGGGTAGCCTAGTAGTTACAGTGTTTGTCACGCTGAAAACTCGGGTTCAATTCTCGACATGGGTACAATGTCTGAAGCACATTTTTGGTGTCCCCGCCATGATATTGATGGAATATCACTGAAAGCAGCGTAAAACTAAACTTACTCTCTCACTTACTATTCCATGCTGTAGACAGATTTACTGCTGCACTATCATGACCACCTGTCTGCTGATCTGACTGATCAGACAGACCAGTACCGACATAGGCAGTGACATACAATCTGACATTGTTGAACATGCATTCATCATTCTAGACAGCACTGAGAAAAGACTGGGAGACACACCAACATGTTTACAATTATGATTGAACAGTCCTCCATAGAGATAATTTTAGAACACGGATGTCCTTGTGGTTTAGTAATTAGCTAGGCAGAGTTGCGTCACTTGGGCGGGCCAGGAAGTTTTGGTACGCCCTGATTATTTTTCCTGATCCTGGCATAGCCCAGTTGTTAATGTGTTTGCTCATCAGGCTGAAGACCTGTGTTCCATTACCCACATGGGTACAGTGTGTAAAGCCCATTTCTGGTGATACTGCTTAAATATTGCTAAAAGCGGCATAAGATCCAACTCACTCAATCACTTCTACATCCGGCACATGTGGTAAACATCAAGGATCTGCTCCCTTCAGGATTCCCTCCAACATCAAGCTGACAAAATGTTTGTTACTGAAATGCTATCCAGCCAAATAGACACAGTCACTCACTTAATGCGATATATTCCCAGTACGAGCATCTTTACCTTAGAATCATTTTGTAAAGAGATTGACTGGCCACACAGTAGCTGTGTAGTATGTATAGGAGAAAACATGCCCCCCTCGGGATTTCCCTCCTCCCAAGGTTTTACATTCTCTACCAAAACCGAGGGGAAGTGTTTTCCCTGACATATAAACTGTCAATGATGGATAATTATAATGTAGATGATCATTTAATGAAGTTACATAACAATAACAGAAGCACAAGTAAAATCAATTTAATGACAGTAACTATAAATAGATAATTCAACCCCAATGTCTTCATTGGCTCGGTAACTGTGAGGTGGAGCGTCTGCTTATTAACCTGATAGATGCGGTTCTAATCCTGCTTCGGAAAACATTTGCACTTTGAAATTGATCTTGGATGATATTTTTCAATTGATTTCAAACACTCATATATCATTTGAATGTTAATGTTCATATAAAGTTAGGAAAAAGTAAAACCTGGGAAGAGGTCTTACTTACAAAAAGTAAAACCTGAGAGCAAACAAAAACCTCAAATGCGGTTATTCCGGGAAAAGAAGAGATGCTTAATATATAGTGAGAAGCACCCTTCAGGTTTATATGGCCTGTTCTTGTCTCAGTGATCCGTTTGTTAGCTGTCGTACATTTATATATTTTTGTGGTATTTAAGAAGTTTGTGCTATTTCAGTGGATTATTTTTCAGTAGAGACATAATGGTCAGTATAACTGCACTATGCTATCACCCCAACTTGTGCCATGTGTCAGTGATAGTATATAGGTCATTTTCAGTATACATGATATTGTATAAATAAAACACAAAAGAGAACTATTCAAGTTGTTGGGTGTCCTTAACAAAGGGAGGTAACTCATTGTGGCAGTATCTACAGTAACGGACAAAGTTGTCCAATATGGACTGCTTTAAAATCCGGACAAATTAGTCGGTCCCTGTTCAGTCCGCAATTGACAGATTCCACTGTATATGTATATGGCTCAGGATCTTCTAATGTCTTTTTTGGGATGTATTTAATTTGATACGTGCATATCCAGCCATTGATCACTGGATTGTCTGGTCCAGAATCGATTATTTACAGACCATATAGATGGAATATTGCTCAGTGTGGCGTTAAACAACAAACCAACCAAATACCATGCCTTTTGGTTAAATATGGGTTCTTGTATTCAGGTTCTTTAACTTTGGAAGTCGTAAGAAGACTCTCACCCCCAGCCCCCAGCCAAAGAGACGAAGCAGTGCTGGTAGTGACTTCGCGGATGGCGCGGGATCGGTGGCACAGCACTCATACAGCACGGGGAACCTCCGGGAGCTGGATGACAAGGCCGTCATAATGAGGTGAGATACTGCTGATACTGTTCGTTTTATTTTGCACAAAATATCCCTTTTGGGTAGGTGGTGCTCATGATGTCAGTCACTGGATTGTCTGGTCCAGACTAGATTATTTACAGACCATGATCATATTGGTGGAATATTGCTGAAAGAAGTATTAAACAACAAATTAAACCAAACCAAATATTTTATTCCTGACCAGACAATCCAGTGATTTACATCATAGCATAGTTCAGATATGATGACATGCATAAAACAAGTCAACAAGCTGGACCACACAATCCTGTGAGTCACCTATTACGACAAGCATGGGTTTGTGAAGACGAGTTCTCTCCCAGCCTACTGAGGCACATGAAACATTTCAACACTGATACGATACCCATCCCTTTGACAGTATTGTGTCTTTTTTGTGTAGTTTACACTTTTGGTAACTGGGGCGGTGGGGTAGTCTAGTGGTTCAGGTGTTCGCTCATCACGCTGAAGACCCGGGTTCGATCCCCCACATGGGCACAAATTGTGTGAAGCCCATTTCTGGTGTCCCCTGCCGTGATATTGCTGGCATAGTGCTAAAAGTGGCATAAAACTGAACTCACTCACTCACCCACTGTCTGGATCCAAAGACAGGAATTCAGGTGAAATTATGTCTTGTGCAGTATTTATATTTCGTTTCATTTGAATATTGTGCAATAGGCAAGGTGGTGAGGTATCTGGGGTCCAGATAAGCAGGGTACCGCTGTATTAAGTAACATTGTTTCCAGTATGTGCAGTGAATTGGGATTGTCCGTGCAAACTTATAACTTATTTGTGCAAGTGAAGGTCAATGCAAATTACAGGTAATTATGCCAAATTGTAGAGAAATTCAGAATGTCATTATCCACATCAACCATAACATGGTTTAATCGGAGAAATCACTCAAATGTTTTGAATCCAGAAGTGGAATCAACTTGGTCTGAAGGTGCTCATTGATTCTCCTTTGTATTCAACCAACTCTGCCTGACATAATGTAAGGATCTATCCATGACATATTCTGTTTGCAGGAGAGAACAGAATTCTTCAGATTCCAGTCTTTCAAGGTGGTAAGTGCTATTAGTAGATTTAGCTGGAATGGATTCAATAGTCAGTAGCATGACATTGTCCGAACACTTCAGGAATGCACTCCTATTGTATTAATTATGCATTGGTTTCACATTCTATTTTTTAAAAAGCATGTAAGTAGTGCATAGTGGATGATTAATCCATCTTCACACCTCCTGCTTAATTGTATGCAGTGAAATTAATACCTAGTATATTAATGCTTAAAGTCAAGGGTCTTTGCTGTGACATTCATGTTAATAGTTAGGAGTCATTGATGTATGCAACTCAAAGGGGGACCACCAAATTCTTCCATATAACTATAGTAATATTTCATGCAAATTATGTCAAAGAATTGTATGGCCCTTAACCTTATTTGAGTAGAAAAGTACATTACAGAATTTCTTTAGTATATAAGAAAGAATCAAGTGATCCTTATATTCTTTGACTACTGTGTCATGACATTAGACCCAAGGACGCTGTGACCCTATGATTTTTAACACTGGTTTGCATGCATTTTCAATTTTATCCAATCTAATTATTTCAAAGAACACACTCATAGAAGCAAGCTTTTATTATTACACCAGCTTCCTAGTAATACATATTTACTTAGATCACAAGCAGATTTTGATAGAGTTATATCCCTTTGCTACTCACTATTAAATATGTTACAAGTAGGCTTGCCCGTTTCTTTGTCCAAGCATGCTGTTTCCTTGGTTTCTTGATTGGTTGACATAATGTGTGATGTTTTAGGTATATTTCCAGTGAGACGTCCCCTACCAGGAAGTCAGAGCTAGGTCTGCTAGACAGCCCACGCGGAGCAAGCAGTTGGAAGTGCCAAAACACCTCTCCCTTCACATGGGCGGCGAGCATTCGAGGGGGGAACCCTCGTCCTGTCTGGCGATTGCCGTCCCTAGCAAGACAAACATCGTGGCCCCATGGGAGGGTCCGCAATAGATACATCTAGCCCTGCTGTGTTGGCCCTCACAGTCAAAGCATTCAGCTTGTCAAGGTCAAGGTTATTCGCAGATATGTATGCAGTGTGCGAAATACTTTCCAGATTTTGCTAGCCTAACTATGCCTGAAAGTTACTAGCCCACAAAATAATTCACTAGCCCGAAATTTGAATTTATATACTAAGCAAAATATTACAAAAGATAAAATGCCATCATTAATCAGGCCATAATCTTGCATGATTTAAAAGTGTATTATAACTTAACAAGTCGGAGAGAGTGATATATTTAAAAAATGACCCCATGAAAAATCACCAGCCAGTCAGACTAGTGACTGTGGAGATTTACTGTCCCGACTGGATTTTTACTAGCCACAGGCTAGCGGGCCAGTGGCTATTTCGCACACTGTCTGTATGTGTTATACCTATTGCAGAACAAAGTCCTTCTTGAAAGTTTTCTGATGCTGTTTCTATATGTTATTATTGCTAGGATCCTAGATCTCATGTGACTAGATTGTGGTTGATTGTAAGACTTTATAAAGACTACTTGTCCTGTGATTGGTCAAAATAAAAAAGCATTGTTCAAAAAGAATATGTTGACAAGACTAGTAGCACCAGTCAGTACAGCGTCGTCATGGTTACATGATTGAGAAGTCTTTTAGACAGGTTCGTTTTGTTTATTTAGACTTATAGAAGACATGTTCGGACAATGTTTATCAATGATTCATGTTTCATAACAAATGAAGCAATGGTCAAGACATTCAAGATAGGAGCATTGTTCCATGGCAGGACGATATCATGGAAGGACATTTACTGTTATTGATCAGTGTAGGCAATAGCTGGAATATAGTCTAAAGTTTAAGACACTTGCGTAATTTGAAGTATTTGCTGTTGATTTGCTGCGTAGGCAGAAGGGTTCTTTCCAAGGGTCTTCTCCCATTGAGGTTTATGGCACTGAGTGGTTAGAGTACCGTTATTGTGCCATAATCGTATACTGGGAGTTGGCCCAGGGTGGTTCGGGAGCTAGATACAGTGAGACCCCGGATACCCGGACCCCAAATATCCAGAAGCCTCGATTTCCGGTCAGTTATCATAAAAAAACAATCTCTTACGTTATTAACGTGACTGTCTATAACGGATATGCGGTTTCACACAAACCAACCGGCTGAATCAGCACAAAATTTACTCACTTATCCGCATGAAGCTTTGATCTTCCGCTCACTGTGTGAAGTGAAGTGCGAGTGTCCCACGTGTCTTGACACGAGACAAGGTCTGCTAATCCGGATTAATGACCGATCAGCAGGGTATTGGTGGTGAATAGTAGGCCTATCTGATATAGAGTGAACTGTAATTGGCAAATCAAAACGACCATGCTGTTTTGGAAGTGATTCTAAACCAAAAGTGTATGCTCGCTACCGTTTCAACACCTAAACCTGGATGACAGAAATCCAGATATCCGGATATTCAGTTATCCGAACAAATTACGCAAAAACGAATGTGTCCGGATATCCGGGAGTCTCACTGTACATGAAGAAATTATTTCAGGATGGGGAAGATGAAGACCCACACATAAGCAAGATAACAGTATTGGGTTTTTTAAATGATCAGATAACCATTTCAATATTTGTTGAAAAGAAGGACTGTCTTACCAACATACGGAAGAATGACCTTTACGATATATACTCGGGTCATGTCACGTTTTGTATCAGTATAAACAGGCTGAATTATGGGGAGTGTTGTTAAAATAACATGACATTTGACATTTCAGTTTGTCAATTTCTTGTCACCTTAATTTACTTGTTCACATGAAGTGTTAAACAGATGTCGACTGAGATACAGCAACTGCTCTGGCTGAAAGGGTTAAAGCTAGTTCCTCTAGCTCCACAGGGGTTAGTAGAATGACCAGGACGATACCATGTGTGTTTGGTTCATTATGAAAGGAGTAGAACTAGCCTCTTTAATAAATTTGTTAATGCAAAATAATGTCTTTCAGACCGTGTCCATTTTCATATCATTGAAGAGGATGTGCAATTACTATTTTGTACACAGAATATTTCCATTTCTAAACTTGTACGCAAGTGATATTATCTCAAATTGAAGACCAACAGAATGACTTCTGGCTTATATTCCTGCCCTATTTTGTCAAATCAAGAATTCTCCCAATGATACGTGACCAACTGATGAAACTGACCATAGCGAGAGCTTGTTTAGTAGCGATTGTTATTGTTATTATGTATTAATTATCACCATTATATCAATTTTTGCATATTATACATGTACATATTCACTGACAAGAGCATTTTCTTTGTCTAAGCATTCCTGTTTCTGCGTGCAGAATTCCAGTGTTTCTTTGAGGAATTTGCTACTTTATGATAACTGTTAATGGGTTAACCGGCTTCTGTTTCCATTGATCATTAAAGGGACTGCTTGTTCCCGATCACGTTAATAACCAGGAAATGTTTGTGTGTCACCAGTTTTCATTGTATTAAATAGCATATCGAGAGAAGCAAGATGTCATTATAAACATCATTTTATGCATTTGCGCTGTAGGTTTTAGGAAATTATTTTTTGTATTATTCTAGAGAAACATTTTAGGGTGTGAATGAGTCATATCTGTTATACAGACATAACTCAGTGCACTGTTTTTAATTTTTAATGTTTGAGTTTCTCAGTTTTTGCTGATGAAGTTTTTTTCCAACCAGCAAAAAGTGGAAACAGTTGTATATTTTGCTACTGTTTTGAGCTTGTCCCATCTGACCCAGAAAAAAATACATTCAGGGAAGATTTAGCCATCAAATAAGAGTTATATCTTTATATGAGGACATCTGCTTCTGCAAGAAAGTATATATTTTTCACTGCTTTGAGCAATTTTCAGAATCACAGTAGTGACACAGAAATAGGCTTCACACATTGTTTCCATGTGGGGAATCAAACCAAGTCCTTTGGTGTGTCAAGCAAATACTTTAACCTCTAGGCTAACCCGCTTTCCCTTGCTTCTGTTTACAGTCTTACCAATAACAATGTGAAAAAAAAATGTTGATAAACTTACTTTTTCTTCTTCTTTTTTAATCTTTTTTTATTATTTAAATGTGTCTTTATAAAGCAAAACACAGTAACGAAATAATGCTGCTCCATAATAATTGATGAACAAGTTTATTCACGGTGTAGGACTGTTTCATGTTGATCAACAATATAAAAATGTTGACTTACTTTAAAAATTTGGAATGTGTTTGATGACAATTAAGATATTGTACAAATCAGACATGGGCGTAGTGTACCTGTCGCTATTTTGTTGAACCTTTTTAATCATTAATTCCACCATTTTTGTTATTGTAAATATTTCATCTTGTATATGAAATAGTATCTCAAAGACACTTGTAAAGTAGTCAGTATTCAGTTTGCAAGTCATTACGTTGTGATGAAAAATTAGTTTTAATGGGCATAATTTAAAAAAACCCAGGAAATCTTAAAATCTATCTTATTATAACTTATACATTATAGTCAAAAGTAGTTTCGATATTCTGCATGTCATGCAGTTCAAAGAAGCATAATAATTCATAATAGTAATTCTTACAAACATATCAGTTGCTTATTTTCAGTGACTTTTAAAGCAGAGAACATCGCAGAAAATGTTTGCAAACTATATTTCGGTGTATACAGGGTATTCTACGGAATCTTGTACTCAGAATGTACTCAAAGATCAAGGAACATTCCTTAGAAGATGGCATTCGATTCCACGTCTTCAAATAATATTGTTGCTGTACTTGTAACATATCAGCCATAAGATATACCTACTACTCCAATAACATATTTCATCTCAAATATTGAACAATGGATAGAAATATTGTAAATCCAAATTAGTAGATTATTGATAAAATCATTAGTGTTCATGTCTTAGACATATTTGCCTTCAAATGTTTATCATTTTGTCAAAACAAGAAGTTAAACTTTTAATTTAAGTTCCTTGAAAACCAGATAGTGAGTATATTATAACAAAGCAATAAATGTATATAAGCATATCAAAATGTTTCAGTTTTGCAATTAATCCATTAAATAATTGATATACAATATTGTACATTTCTTTTAAAAAATGTACTTTCAAAATGTGTTATGAAGACAATGCATGTGTATATAGATGCATGCTCAATTAATGATATATTGAATTCAAATAAAATCAAATGTTATGATATTTTTTAAATAAAAAAACCCTGACATATCTAAAATGGAGGAAGTTCCAGGGGAGGCAACTGTAGTGGGTCTCGATACAACCAACGAAACTGACAGTGAACCTGTCATTTGTAGTTTCTTAACAAGAAATATTGACTAGCCATAAGTTTGCTACTTCTGTTTCATAAATGTATGCTTATTAGTCAGAATCATAAAAGGACCTTCTTTGTGCACAGGTTTTGTATGATTATGGAAATGGTTTTGTCACTTTTATTTAACTGTTGTTCATATTTAAGCTTGAAAGGCAAGACGTACTGTCTCAATGTTTGTCTTACGTTTACTGAAGGGTTAATAAATTTTGACACTGTAAAAAAAGAAAACGTCAGGACCATGAACCTCAGTTTCTAACACTATTCGTGTTTTTTTACTATCCATGTTAGACTATCTGTTAAAATTCATTGGTAGATGTTGTAGTTCATATTTACATTCAGATATTCTGTTGACCAACCATTGACAGATGTTGGTAATATACATTGAAAGACCTACAGTCAATTTTACAACATTATCCATTGAACATTTCCTGCTGTTCTTCAAAGAATACCTTTGAAATAGATTGACAACTGCTGAATTATACATTAAAAAATGTAGGGTATAAACTGATAAATTATAACTTCTTTGAGTGGCATTTTAGAAGTTGGGAAGTACAATATAGAACAAGCTTTATGGATGACAACGGTACAAGAATCTGTAACGAAATCGCACTCACGAATAAAAAGAAGTTGTTATCCATAAAGTTTGTTCTATATTGATAAATTATACATGAAGAGCTTATGCTTTTTAACAATACATGTTAAGGACACCATGGAAAGTCGGGAATTATAACCATTAATAGGGGATGGAATTATCCATTAAAGTAAGTTGACTAGCTATTCATAGATATTGGAAATTTACAAATGATCTTGAGTGTCCTTTGATATAGAAGAAGAAAAAAGGATGTTTCTGTCAAACAGTAAGCAGAGCTTAACTT